GAGAAACCTGCATTCATGTGAGAATGAAGAAGTCACTTGGATGAGCTATGAAATGTTTCTCCCACTGAAAACACTATGTTCAGATGAACCGAATCAACTTTCTGGGGTTTAATTTTATCATTATATCTTTACTTCAAGTTCAGCTCAGCATGTAAACATAACTCAGCAACAAAATCCATGTAAGGAATACCTTATTGACAAAGTGAAAACTAAATCAATGATAGAAGGATTACAATAAAATCTGTCAAATGTGTTGTAATTAATATTAATATGCAGAAAACAAATAAACAAGAGCGTTAGTTCAATGGGGAAAACAGAAGTCACTGATAATCAAACATAAGTGTCTACTTCTTTATTTTTTTCTAATACATATTTTTTAACCAGTGTTGAACTAAGACCTTGCAGTAAAAAATATAAAAGAACAGTAGCTGGCAGTGTGAGACTATACTATACTACTATATTACTCTACTACCAACACTTCAGTGATGTTCATGTTTTTATTTGAACAGACTAAAAATTGCCCTTTCTAGTTGTTGGATTTCTTTAAAAATCCTCCTGCCAGCATCGGCGACTACTTCACCGATTCGTATCAGATGATATAATGGATTAAACTTCTCAGCTTCATCTCTGGCCTTATTTTCACACCAGGACTGAATCTTGCGTCTTTCTTCCTCCACTTCTCTCTCACACTTCTCCTTTAACTTCTTCATCTCCCATTCTTTCTCCTCCCTCTCCATCTTCCTCTCCTCCTCTCTCTCCTTCCTCTTCCTCTCTCTCTCAGCCTGGCAGTGGCGTGTCCAGCGGGGTGGCCTGGGGGGGGGGCACAGGCCACCCCCCAACCAGACTGGCCACCCCAGGTGCCACCCCAAAGGCAAAACAATAAAATTCAATCAAATATCAAATGTACGATTATGTTTTCACGGTGAAGCTCAGATATCCGAGTGTAAGTGAATGCAGCATCGGATCGTGATCGTCGTGATTGCTAATCAAGGGGGCGGGTGCATTCGGCCTCCTCGGCTGTAATTGGTCCAGCCCAGAGTCGATCATGACCAATTGGCCAATCCAACACCTGTCATTATATACACCCTTCCTAAAAAAAAAAAAAAAAAAAAATCCTTAGGCCCATAAAAACAAAAAATCGCCAGCGGCCCACCGGGCAAATGCCCGGTATGCCCGATGGCCAGTCCAGCTATGCCGGTAAGTAATATTAAGTTTGTTGAGTTTAGATAAAGTTTTACATTGGAACTGGCTAATTTGTCAATTGTTTGTTACAAATGTTCGTATTTTAATATTAAAAAATGTTTTTGCCCAAAACATATGTGCACTATATGTCAGTAAGAATACTATGCAAATATTGATGTCCTTGAATGCTGAGTAAACACTGACAAAGCACTGATTGTATTTCTTGTACTTTATCAACGCAGTATCTAAAAACTTTGCACCGTAGTGGTTAAAATCTCATTCTAATAAGAGTTAAAAGCGCATTCGGTTATTAGGTTTACAGGGTTATTGAATTATGGTTAAGGGTTGGTAGAATTTTTTTTTAAACATTATCTGCCAATTACATCTGCCACCCCTCTCCAAATCTGTGCCCCTACCTGGCCCCCCCAACAAAAATTTTCTAGACACGCCACTGCAGCCTGGAGTTGTTCGTTGTATTTCTGCATCTTTCTCATATATTTCCCATATTTCTCTCTCCATTTTCTCAATTTTTTCTCACATTACTTCTTCTTTCTCTCTCAGGATGCATTGTTTCTCCTCTTCAATCGCCCTCTCAGCCTTTTGGAACATCTCGTTGGTGTAGTGGCTTCCTCCGTTCTTCTGGGCTATCTCTCTGATCTTCTGGAGCAGCTCAGTGACCTGAGAGCGCTCCTTCAGTTTATTATTGAAGACGTGGTACTGACCGTTACATCTGGCCACGAGTTCCTGCAGGTCTGAGCTTTTTTCTAAGAACTCTTCAATAGTGGTGCTTTCAAGTTGGTCTCCATGGGTAAAGAGAACCATGCTGTATTTGTCTGCATCAGCACCAAAGATTTTTTGAATCCTTTGCACCGTCTGTTTTTCCTCTTCAGTGTATCTGCCCAGTCTGACGACCACCAAGAAGATATGGGGTCCTGGAGAAGCATAGGAGATGCACTGGCATACATCTTTAGTTGTTATCAAACCTGGTATCAAACAGCCCCGGGGTGTCAATGACAGCAACCTGCTGCCCATCCACTTCAACTTTGCCTTTTGAACACTCTACAGTCATAGACACGGCACTGAACTTGGATTCAAAGCATTCACGACCCAGAATAGTGTTTCCAGTAGCACTCTTTCCAGTCCCAGTCTTTCCCACTATCACAATCCTGACCTCATCATCCTTTGTCCTGCCAGAATCTGTGTAGAAAGATGAGAAATAATGAATTAGGATCTAAATCAAGCTGTAAATACATAAGTCTTTACTTCTGAACATCAACTAAGTTTTGGGATCGATTTTTCTAGATTCCAAAAATTTGCAGATAGAAGATGTGTCACAACTATTAATTTGGTGAGGTCATAGTCATGATCAATGATATGTGTGTGTTATTAATTATTATTTAGATTTATTTTTTTTTTAAATTTACCTCACATACATATAAAATCCTAAATCATAGTGTTCGGATTGGAGTTGGAAGCTAGGATTAGAGGGTTAAAAGTTATTTCAAAGTGATTTTCAAAGCTACAGCTACAGCTGATGTCTACAAAAGACTTTCTCCACAGAGCTTGTCTAACATTTAATTATTCAAGCCTGATCACTGCTGTAACATTAAAAAAATACCACTAACATGAAGACTTACCAAGTTTGCTGTCCATGTTTGGGATGAAATTGTTCCTGTCCTAAATAGTGCAGTGCAGATACTTCTTCTGTGTCAAGTCAGAAGTGAAAGTCAGTGTCATGGTCCTGGGCCATGTGGGCCCAGTGTTCTTAGTTCCTTGTATTTTTGTATTTCGTTCCTTATTTAGGCCATGTTTCCTGAGTTGCCCTGTTGTGTTGTTCCCTAAGTGTTTTCCCTTCGTGACTCTTACCCCCTGTGTGCCCCTCTGTGTATTTATGAGCCCTCGTCTCTCTTTGTGTTTTATTCTGTTTTCCCCAGCCCGTTATGTCTGTGTTCTCCCCGTGCTCTCTCTCCTCCTGTCTGAACCTCTGTACTTCCTGTTTTACTTTGCCCGTCTCCCGTTAGTGTAGTGTTCACTCCTGCCGTGTCTTGTTATGATTATCAGTGTCACCTGTGTTCCCCGTGTGCTCCCACTTCCCTCGTTAACCCTCTGTGTATTTATGTCTGCGTCTCCCTCAGTTCTGTGTCGCGTTCTCCCTCATGCTGCGTGGATTTCCCTGTGTCTCTCTCCGAGTATTAGTTTATTGTTCCCAGTTTAAGTTTTGTATTTTCCTGTCATCTTGTCAGCAATAAAGCTGCCTTTTGAGTTCATCCCTTGAGTCCGTGAGTTTTGCGATTGGGTCCTCATCCTGCCTGCCACACAGCGATCCATGACAGTCAGAGGCTGTGCTGCACCTTCTTTAACAGAACATATCAACCAATCCACACCCACAAATAACTGCATTGCACACAGAGTGAAAGTAAAATTTTTGTGGCATTTTTCCAGTTACAAGGGTTTTTTATAAAGCTGGATAACCATGTTGATTTCTTGAATTCTTTGCACCATGTGCATTTCCTCTTCAGTGTATCTGCTCATCTGAGAGCATACAAGAAGATACAGGGTCATGGAGAAGCTCAGGAGATGCACAGGGATGCACCTTTGTGATTTTATCCAAGGAAGGCCTGGTATCAGACAGATATGGCTTTCCCTTTAGAACAGGCTACACTCATAGACTTAGCACTTCACTTCGATTCAAAGCACTGATGTGCTAGAATGATGTTTCAGTCAGTCTGATTAGTCCTGTGCATTACAAGCACACATTGCATGTGTATATAGCAGCAAAGCAGCTTTAGTGACTGTTTATATTTATTTATTTTGATGTTATTGGCTCTATTCATGAACAAATTTAAGTGTGAAAACAGTAATGTGCTCTGCTTACTTTCAAAGACTAATGAAAAACTCAACAAAAATTGGATCTGAGGAACATCTATTTTCTGTTTCAGGTTCTCAGCTGCATTGTTTTATGTCCTGGTTATTTAATAGAGTATGGTTCTGAGGACCACAGCAGGTACAGGAAGTCACTGCATTCACTCTTCAGACTTTGCTTTCTCCTCCCAAAACCATTTACAAGAAACGGCAGCATTTTTTCTTAATAGCAAGCACTGCTGCACAGATTAGTATAGATTTCTTTGCTTTCAGAGTAACTTTTTGAGTTGTGTACCAAACTCAAATTTATCCAATGTGCAAAGCCAGACCCCTGTTCCCCCCTTCCATCCCCATTTACAAGAAACAGCAACACTTTTTTAGAAGTACAGACACTGCAGCACAAAGCAGTTCTTACGTAATGTTTTCACTATGTTTCACATCTGCTGCTTCTTATCGAAAATGTCAGTGGAACAGGATATAATAAAAATGTGTTCACAAGCTGCAAGTCTTTGATTATTTTTTATTAATATACTGAATATTTTCAGTTCTATTTATAATGTGTGAGGTCCGGCATCCTTACTTTACATCAATTCTTACAAAATATATCTTATCTCAAAATATTTTTAATAGAGTTAAAATAACTTTTAATAAACAATATTCAGGAACAAAAAAAAGATTTATTCACATAGTAGTTAATGCAGACAGATGCTGATTTCTGAACACATTTGAGTCCATGTCCGGTTTTAGAACAATCAGCTTGTAACGGAAATAACGGGGCCAAACTATAATTTCATTTTCACTCTGTGTTCAGTAGAGTCATTGTAGGTGTGGTTTGGCTCATGCTGCCTGTTGAAGAAGCTGCAGCACAGTCTTTGCCTTTCACTTCTTGCTCCACTTCAGTTGGCTATAAAACACTGTTTAGACTGAACATCGACAGAAGCAATTACAACCCAAGCATGGCTGGCAAGTTCGGTAAGTCATCATGTTAGTCATTTTTTCTAGTGTTACAACAGTGATCATGGCTGATTTAAAATCATGGTTGGTTGGCAGGTAGGTCGATAGATTATAAAAACAAAAACAAGATCATTGAGGTTAATATTAGACACAGACCTGTGATGGTTTAAATAAATGTTTTAAGTCTGAAAGGTATGGAACGCCAGGACTGCCATAATGAATTAATTAAATACACCATTAAATAATTAATTAAATGTGGCAATAATTAATTAAAATTGGAATTAATTAATTAAATAAATAGTTATGACACATGTAATTAATTAATTATTGACACATTTAATTAATTATTTATGTATTTCACATTTTAATTAATTATTGACACATTTAATTAATTAATTATTGACACATTTAATTAATTATTTAATGATATATTTATTTATTTCATTTTGGCAGTCTTGGCGCCTGGCTCTCATCATGAAATAATTTTATCTGTCAGCCTCACCCATCAAACTCAGGGGGCGGGGTTAACGCTGATCGAGTCAAAACCATTGCTTTGGCCTGGTGGCCATTGTTTCTAGCACACAACAACCGGCATGTGGAAGCTAACAGAACTGAGCTTTGAAAAACCCTGTTTGTGTGTTACCAAATACCGTTTTAATATTTTTTTAGCCGAGAATGTAGTGGTTTAATCTTCATGTGTCTGGTCGGTTTGTCAAGATACAGCCTCTTTGCAAAAGTGTTTCGATGATTTCGGAGATGTCGTCCCAGTCTCACGGCAAAGCGTGGGATAGACCCGCTCGCCTCGCAAGCAATCCCACCGACAAAGCGCAGGCCCCGGTACACAGCTGTAGTAACCCCCGCTGACTTCTTTTACTGAGGTTATATTTATCGGTGTTTTATTTCCTGATGTTCTTATGTGTCCTACGTGTTTCAGTCGCCAATTCTGAATTATAACTAACATTAAAAACATGTTTAAGGAGGAGAGAGAGCAAATAAATCTGTTTAACATCTGATCTTTGGGTTTTTGTTCAGTAATCAGCGTGACCTGTGTATAAACACATAAAAGAGATAACGTTGGTGTTTCCGTCATGTAGTAACTGCTGGCTTTAACTGTACAAAGGTTGTTCGACACTATGAAACACATACAGACTTCATGATGTTCGGCTAATATTTTTATTGTGAATATTAATCATGCTGACCTCGCTCTGTACACCACGCAGCGAGGTCAGCATATCCACGATATCCTCAGCTCCATGAGTTAACACAAAGTTTCCCAGCTGACTATCTAACTGCCAACTATTCCAGAGACGTGAAAATATACAGCATAAAGAAAAGTGTAAGAGACTCAGCAGCAGATTAGAATAACAGTTATACATTTAATAAATCACCAAATGAATCCAAGAAACGAGCAAACCTGTTCCGACAATTTGAATTTGTATTCCCTCAGCTGCAGACTCGCTGCTGTTTAAATGTTTGAAAAGGAAGATTAGATATAAACAAACGTCAAACATAGACTCAGTCTGCCTTCACATTTGATATGAGGCCAGCACGTATAGTGGCCTCAGCAGGCTATTACTGAAATACACGTGCTATATCATAAACTATGATATAAACAGGGAGGTCCTATTAACATGTTTAGTTTTAAAGGACACCTTCCTGCCTTTAGTCTCATTCATGAGCAGTATTCGTTTTCTTCTAACATCCAGAAGTCTGCACAATGTGTTTCATAGTTTGTAACAAGCCTTTGACAGGTAAACATAACATGACCGAAAAAGCAAAAAAAAGCAAAAAAAAGAGAGAGAGTGTTGACGTAAGAAGAGAAAATGCTCTCAATTATGGAGACAGGCAAATGGTTCATTTATGTTTGTGTGTTTATTCCTCCCTAAATATCGTCGGTGAAGTTCGCCATGCATGTCAGATTTTCCTGCGCATTTTTATACCTCTGCCAACAGAGAGAGAAAAAAAATCACATTCTAACAGACAGCTGGTGCTTAGAATACAGTTGAATAACTATTAAAAAACAGATGATATTTAGATGATAGTTCAGTCTAACACATGTGCCAGTGAACCATTAAACGTCTGTGAAACTATGCAGTTATGAAACGTAACTTTAACCTCAGCCAAACCGATTTGCTCAGTTGTAAATAAAACAGCGAAGTAAACGTGACCCGACAGACAGAACCTGAGTGAATGAAGTCCAGCGTTTAACGACTGAGAGCTAAAACTCAGCTGAGGTTTGAAAGCTGTGTGCCGGTGATTGGACATCAGCCGCTGATAAAGCTGTTCGCCTATAAAGTGCTCTGTAAGGAAACGAGCTCCAGCAGCTCTGCGCTCGGGGAAAACACTATATTTACTTATCTTGTGCAGAAAAATGCGCTGACATTGCGTTATATCGAGCACCGGCTGCCCAGTTAAACTGTGACTATTGTGGAGAAGGGAAATTATTTTACTGCTATTGTTAAATAATTGTCATTATTACCATTGCATTAATAATATAATCTGGAGTTTATATTGCATTCAGGGGTTGAACAGTGTGTGTCTTTCAGAAAGACTAAGTTGCAGGCTGACAGGAAGTTGCAGGTTTGCAGAGTGTGCCTTTTGCAGAACTGAAACCGAAAGCAGAGTCTAAGTGCAGGTTATTTTGAGGAGCATTTGAGGACGAGACACAGACAGTAGGTGAAGAGGTGACACAAAGAGCATGTGAGGTCAACACATACACACACATTAGTTAAATTTATTTAGAGGAACCACCCTTGTTGTCTCGGCAAGAAAGAGGAACAATTCATTTTAAGATAAGAACGGAAAGTACCAAGCCATGAAAATAGAAGATGATTTTCTGGGTGAAAAGTCATGATGATGTTGATCTGATCTATGTATAAAATGCACCGGTGACGCATGAAGGGGCGTCAGTAAACAAACCCTGATGCTATAAAATATCTGTTCATGCTTTGATTAAGTCGAGGACTACTGGCTGTCTGCGTACAGAGTGTCTTCCCACACGTGTGTTCATTAAAATCATTGTTTGACCAAGACCTTCTGGAACAATGGGTGGTGTGTACTCTCCTTCCTCAATTGTGAACCGTAACACTATCACCAGGTAACGTAGGCGTGTTTCTTGAATTAGCAGCAGGTGTTAAACAGCTGACAGATGAGGAGGAGGATGCATGCAGGTAAACTGAGGGTCTGTTGAGCTGATCGCTGGTTTCGTGAGAAAAATGTCAGCTCGTTCTTTATGTTACAGAAGCACAGAGACACAAGACCAGGCGGAAAGAGACGATCGTTCGGTGAAAATGAGAATCTGCGAATGCAACATGTGGAACACGGAGAGTGGAATATGTAAACAAACCGGTTAACGTAACCCCCTCGGTGCGCTCTGCATGCTAACTGTTAGCAGAGCTAGTGAAATCTCTGAAAACATCTGAGCACTTTTGCAAACATGTTCTATGTTGACAACCTGACCAGACATACGTCGCGACATTCGCGGCTAAAACACTGTTAAAAGTGTAGCTGGTGACAGAAAAACGGGGTATTTTAAAACTACACCACCACCATTGCTGCATGTGATTTGATCTGCATTCTGGGATAACTGGCTGCCCCAAGTCTACACAAGCAATCGATTTTCTAGGATCGACCTGTTTTGACTTACTTTGCACGGCAACCAATCAAATGTTAGAGAAGCTGCATGGGCAGCGTTAACCCCGCCCCCTGAGTTTGATGGATGAGGCTGACAGATAAAATTATTTCATGACGAGAGCCAGGCGTCAGGACTGCCAAAATGAAATAAATAAATATATCATTAAATAATTAATTAAATGTGTCAATAATTAATTAAATGTGAAATACATAAATAATTAATTAAATGTGTCAATAATTAATTAATTACATGTGTCATAACTATTTATTTAATTAATTAATTCCAATTTTAATTAATTATTGCCACATTTAATTAATTATTTAATGGTGTATTTAATTAATTCATTATGGCAGTCCTGGCGTTCCATAGAAAGGGAGTAGGTAGAAGCTTAATGTTTATCAAGACCTAACCCATTATACAAAAATGAAAAAAAAAAAATAAAAACTACATTTTGCACAACCTGCCTACATTTTCATTAGCTAATAATAATAACAACCAATAATAATGGCCAATAGGAAAACAAAGAGAAAGACTCACTGTTCTCCTTTGGTCATTATTATTGTCCATAGTGCTTCTTTCTAACCATGTCAACGTGCTCCTTATTTAAAATTAAATTTAAAGTCTCTGAGACAGCAGTTTGTGAATTTAGCTCTGAGATGTGGAAGAGAGGTCATAACTTTTGAATGTCCATTAAGATTCCTGCTATTAAATATGTTATCCACTGTAACATTCTAGTTACATGGTTCATAAGTGTGATATTTACAAGCCATTCGTGATTATATCGACCAGAAAAGAAAAAAAGGATTAATTGCACTTCCTGATAGCAGAGTGTCAGGGTCATTACTGAGAATGACTCTGATTTCACAGGATCAACAGCAGAATAGAGACTTGTGACCCATCTCTGTAGATGTTGAATTAACTTTTGAACATCTACCAGAACATTTGTAACCTAAAATACCGACCCCAAACCTGGTGCATGATCAGGTATATGTATAATAAGCACAATATATTTCATGCTATGCATTCTTTCTGATCTTTCTACACAGATTTCTACACAAATGATGAGATGAGGATTGTGATGGTGGGGAAGACTGGAATTGGGAAGAGTGCTACTGGAAACACTATTCTGGGCCGTGAGTGCTTTAAATCCAAGTTCAGTCCCATATCTATGACTGTAGAATCTTCCAAAGGAAAAGCTAAAGTGGATGGACATCGCGTTGCTGTCATTGACACCCCAGGCCTGTTTGATACCAGGGTTGATGAAGAGGAAACTCAGAAAAATATATGCCAGTGCATCTCCTATGCTTCTCCAGGACCCCATATCTTCTTGGTGGTCGTCAGACTGGGCAGATTCACTGAAGAGGAAAAACAGACGGTGCAAAAGATTCAAAAAATCTTTGGCCACGCAGCAGACAAATACAGCATGGTTCTCTTTACCCATGGAGACCAACTTGAAGGCACCACTATTGAAGAGTTCTTAGAAGGAAGCTCAGACCTGCAGGAACTCGTGGCCAGATGTAATGGTCAGTACCACGTCTTCAACAATAAACTGAAGGAGCGCTCTCAGGTCACTGAGCTGCTCCAGAAGATCAGAGAGATAGTCCAGAAGAACGGAGGAAGCCACTATACCAACGAGATGTTCCAAGAGGCTGAGAGGGCGATTGAAGAGGACAAACAACGCATCCTGAGAGAGAAAGAAGAAGAAATACAGAAAGAAAAGGAGACAATCGAGAGAGAAATACGGGAAAGATATGAGAGAGAGATGCAGAAATACAACAAACAACTCCAGGCTGAGAGAGAGAGGGAGAGGAAGGAGAGAGAGGAGGAGAGGAAGGAGAGAGAGGAGAGAGAATGGGACATGAAGAAGTTAAAGGAGAAGTGTGAGAGAGAAGTGGAGGAAGAAAGATGCAAGATTCAGTCGAGATATGAAAATGAAGCCAGAGATGAAGCTGAGAAGTTTAATCCATTACCTTTGCTGGTTGCAGGAATTAAAACACTTGGGACGGTGTTAAAATTTTGGCTTCGAATTTAAATTTTCACTCATGCATTGAATGACAGTCAGGATCTTTTTATATAGAAACGCATAACTGCCGCTCTGTATCATTGTACCAATGTTTTAACCTTTTTCTTAGCGTTCCCTGCCTGTCTAGACTTCCTAGCATGATGTTACAGATAGCAACAAGTTCAAAAAATGTAATATTTTGGGAATTATATGTAAGGTTCCCGTAAAATTTGTCATTCTTTCTGAAGTTTTGAAGCTTTATCGTCTTTTTTTTTGCTACCTGTTTTCAAACAGCAGATCCAGTGGACATATTGAATTTCCTTTTTATGTTATCTTAGTCATTTATTAGTTGGAGTTCATACTGTGGGCTTTTGGGAAATTCAGTATTCACTCATTATTATAGTTAGAGATGTATGTATTTTTGTAACTTCTCTTTATGCCAATGATGTTGGTTTTGTTTGTGAGATTTACTTTCTTGGTGAATGAATCCATCTTTGCTCCAACTTTTACCTTCCCCTTGACTGAGTTGTCTGCATTGCCTTCACATGTGTGACTCGCAACCTGACAATAAACTTAGATTTGTGAACTTTGTGCCATGACCTCTAGAACTGTAAGCATTTGTCTGTCATGTGAAGGCTGTGTGCAGGCAGGAGTGGTGATATGGAGGACCCTAAGCGCGGGCGGGCATATGGACAGGTGTAGATCACAACACGGAGTGTCTGTACTTTTAGAAGTACAGACACTGCACCACAAAGTAGTTCCTGTTTATCTGCTCCTGCTGAGATAGGGCAGAAAACTCCAGTATGTTCTGTTCTCTTCTAATCAGACAAATAAGGCGATGACTTTCTGCAAACAGTATTTCTTATAACTCAGCAGTATAATGCATCATAAAACAATATCATTCATTCACAATAAATCAGCAGTCTAATGTAATGCAAATCAGTTTAACAAATGCAATAGTTACCACCTTCTTCTAATTCAGGAGAATAATGCAAACTAAAACTACATAATAATTCACAATCTTTAATTAGGGGTCTAACATGGCATAAAATAATATTATAATCTCACACACCAAAATTTTAAAACATGTTATTTGTTTTTATTATACTTGTCTTTCAGGGCATTCATGCGAAAAAAAGGATGCAACGTCTCAAGATGGACTTGTGACACAGTCAAACACCCAAAACAAGTGGACGCTACCTCATGTGGAGTCTTTGCATTGAAAGTACGAGTCTTAACCGTAATACATACATATATACGAGAATATTGGAAATGTTGTGTTGTAATAAATGTTAATGACAGGAAAAGGAATATAAGATAATTACACAATAAAAGAATGAAATTGATTCGCAGAAAATAAATTACTATAAAATAACATTTACGATATTAGCCTATTTAGTCATCTTCGAATCTCTTTTTCAGTTTGCTGAAAAGATCTTGCGAAAAGAGTCAATAGACTTTCTGTCTACAAAAAAGGCCATAAACACACACAGGCTGCAAATTGCCACCACTCTTCTCCTAGAGACAGGTAACTCATTTTCCACCATTCAGTGTTCTCACATCATGAATATTTTCATCATGATGGCTGTAGAAACAAACCATATAGTTGTTTGAATGAAGTAATAAGTGCAGTAGGTAGTATACTCTATGTGCTATTTTTCACTTTTTAAAAAGATGACTTGACAAACATCTGTCATTTCTGCGGGGAAGAAGAGCATGAAACTGACAACAAATGGGTAATGGCATCAAGAAAGACTGCTAAATGTTAAGATCAATTCCCATAAATGAAATTTTAACATTGGGATTTGTAATTATTTATTTTTTTACAGATTCAGTGTGAGATGTGTTTGCGGTGGTTCCACCAGCTCTGCGTGAAAAGCCCACCACCAGAAGATGTGTTTATTTGTTTCGCTTGTACATAGTTGACACTAAAGGTCCACAGCTAGTGTTCTTATGGCGCACATTGTCGAGAACACATATCTACATACATCGAGAATCTGTGGCAAGATCTGAAAACTGCTGTTCACAAGCGCTGTCCATCTAATCTGACTGAGCTGGAGCTGTTTTGCAAAGAAGAATGGGCAAGAATTTCAGTCTCTAGATGTGCAAAGCTGGTAGAGACAGACCCTAAAAGACTGGCAGCTGTAATTGCAGCAAAAAGTGGTTCTGCAAAGTATTGACTCAGGGGGCTGAATAATTACACACAGCCCACTTTTCAGTTATTTATTTGTAAAAAATGTTTGGAATCGTGTAAGAGTTTCGTTCCACTTCTCACGTGTGCACCACTTTGTGTTGGTCTTTCACGTGGAATTCCAATAAAATTGATTCATGTTTGTGGCTGTAATGTGACAAAATGTGGAAAAGTTCAAGGGGGCCGAATACTTTTGCAAGCCACTGTATAAATAATTATATATCTCTAAGCATAAATTATAATATGTTTCTAAGTACAAATGACAATCCTAAAATATCACTCTGACATATTTACTACAGTATGGTACTGAGGACCACAGCCCTCCTCTAGGTACAGGAAGTCACTACATTCACTCTTCAGACTTTGCTTTCTCCTCCCAAAATCATTTACAAGAAACAGCAGCATTTTTTCTTAATAGCAAGCACTGCTGCACAGATTAGTATAGATTTCTTTGCTTTCAGAGTAACTTTTTGACTTGTGCACCAAATTCAAATTTATCCAATGTGCAAAGCATGACCCCCCCCCCCCCCCCCCCCCTCCGCCCATCCCCATTTACAAGAAACAGCAACACTTTTTTAGAAGTACAGACACTGCACCACAAAGTAGTTCTTACGTGATGCTTTCGCTGTTTCACATCTGCTGCTTCTTATAGAAAATGTCAGTGCAACAGGATGTAATAAAATGTGTTCACATTTGCATGTCCTCAAGCTGCAACTCTTTGATTATGTTTGATTAATAAACTGAATATTTTCAGTTCTATTTATAATGTGTGAGATCCTGCATCATTAATTTACATCAGTTCTTGCAAAATGTTATCTTATAATCTCAAAACATTTGTAATAAAACATTAAAATTACTTTTAATAAACAATATTCAGGAAAAAAAGGATTTACTCAAATAGTAGTTAATGCAGAAAGATGCTGATTTCTGAGTAACGACTAGCAGGTGAAGACAACAAAAGCAGAAAGGGGCCATGAAAGATTTCTGAATACATTTGAGTCCATGTCCGGTTTTAGAACAATCAGCTTGTTGTCACGGTTCTGGGTCCGTTGGACCCAGTATTCTGAGTTTATTGTGTTTTGATTTAAGTTTGCATCAGAGATTGTGTTCTTGTTCTCTTGTCGTGTTATGGTGATGATTATGTCTATTATTAGAGTTCCATGTTTCTGTTTATCTGGGTTTAAGATGTGGGTTTAGTTTCATATGTCATTTCCTGTCTGTCTCTCGATGTCGAGCCTGCGTGTGATGTTTTATTGTGAAGGTCTGCGTCTCATTTGAGTGTGTTCAGTTTTACCCCGGTCTCATCTTACTGATTGTTCCCAGTTGTGTCCACCACCTGTGTGTAATTCCCATGTTTCTCTGTGTGTATTTAAGTCGTGTCCTCCGTCATTGTAGTTGCTGGTCCGTCTGTGTATCTACCATGTCGCACCCGTGTGTTCTCCCTGCTGTCCATCGTCATTCTCCTCTGCTCGTTCTCATTCAGGTTTGTTCTTTGTAGTTTAGTTGTTTTCCAGTATAGTTTAGTTCGAGCTCCATTTGCTGTTTGTCCTTATTTTGTGCTTAATAAACCACCCTCACTTCTCCACTACTGCCTGCGTTTGGATCCTCCTTCATTTCCTCCACACGGCTCCTCTCACTCGCCGTGACACTTGTAACGGAAATAACGGGGCCAAACTATAATTTCATTTTCACTCTGTGTTCAGTAGAGTCAGTTATAGGTGTGGTTTGGCTCATACTGCCTGTTGAAGAAGCTGCAGCACAGTCTTTGCCTTTCACTTCTTACTCCACTTCAGGTAGCTACAACCCAAGCATGGCTGGCAAGTTCGGTAAGTCGTCATATAATTCCCTCGAAGCACAGCAAGTGGTTTTCTGTCACTGGTTTATTTGAAGACTTCTCTCCAAAGCCACCTTGAAAAGTATACAGCATTAACAAAATAAAACTCGGCGTAAGACACAGCAGTAAAAACACTGTACAACAAACACAATAAATAAATAAATACCTCATTGGCTGCATGCTGCAAAAAGGGAATTAGCCGCCGTCCTTCTGAGGTTTCCTTTAACCGTTTAACCATGTGTAGTTAGACCCCTGGGTGGGTCCGGGACAGGCGTGGGGTTCTGTGGGTGCTCCGTCTCTGGGCTGGGGCCCTGGCTGGGCCTCAGGGGCTTGGGTCCTGGTTGGTGTGTCGCCGGGGTTGCGGGCGGGTGGGTGTATGGGGGCCCAGCCCTGGCGCAGGGTGCTGCCAGTGCATCGAGCCATCCGGGGGGCTCTTCAACTGGTGGGGGAGGCTGTTACATCTTGCAGTAGGTCTCCTCTCTTCAGGAACTGACTCTGCAGGAGGGGGAGATATAGGAGAGGTGGAGGAAGATCTCAGCCTGGGCGTCTTTTGTCTTGTGTAGTCTGGAAGATGAGTGGATGACGGGGTGGGTGCAGTTTTCTCTGTGGTGGGGTCAGGTGGGCTGTCCCGGGCTCTGTGGCAAAAAAGAAAGAAAGAAAGTATTTTTCAAAGAAACCTGTGAGTCACTTAACAACTTTTAACCTATTTTCAGGCGAGAATGTAGCTGTGTAAACTTCAAATATCTGAGCCGGGGAGAACAGCAAACTCCCAGCATGTCATGGTCCTGCGACCATGACTCAGTGGCTTTGTGTTTGTGTTCTTTATTGTTATTATTCTCTTTATTATTCATGGGCTGTTTTGGGATGGTTTGTGTTTTGGGATTTTAGGTACTGGGTTCTGGGTTTGTGCTCCCTCTATTGGTCCCTGGTGTCAGTGTTCCCCTGTCTCGTCAGGTTAATCAGGTCCAGCTGTGTCTCCCACCTGTGTGTGATTCCCAGTGTCTC